AAAATAAGACAGACAGACGGGCGAAGTGGAAACCTATAGTTCCCTCGATCCTGTTTTACTGGTAGGGGGACTCTAATTATACAAGAGAGAGAGAGAGAGAGAGAGAGTCGTGCTCGTTTTATCTTCCTGTGCTCCTTTTATTCCTTGGCGCCAAGTCAAAAGTATCTGGCCGCGAACCTCTATAGCATGCAAGAGTAAGGAAACTAGTCAAAAGTTAAAATGTTTTTTGGCCTATGTTTGTCGATTTGTCTAGTTTGTTTTCCAATTTTTATTAATGCCAGGTTCGTGAAATATGCTTTACCAAGGCTGTTTAGTTAACTGTAATCCTTTGCATTGGAACATCACTTTAAACATCAGTTAACAAATTTCATGTGTTATCTAAAGTAAATGTGGTGGCCATAAAAGGCTCAAGAAAGCTTTTACACAAAGCCCGAATCCCTTTAGCCTTTTTTTTTTTAAATCCATTTATCAGACTGAACAGTTTTTGAAATACCAGAGCACTTAGACGAACAGGCTATCGCATTCTGCTTGTTGTCTTTGATTCCAGTGGAATGAATGGAGTCACGTTCCCCCGGCTCCTGTTTCATTTGGCAGTTGCAAAACGATATCAAAGTACAGATGCATTAAATACCTTAATTCTCATCGCAATGTTCTCGTAATGTCCACACGATTGTGTCTAGACTTCTGTTTATTTATTGCTCTTTAGTTCTATACAATTACTCAATAGCATGTCAAGACCAAATATACACCTCGCTAGTCCATAAGCAGTGAACCTGCAGAAAAGGAATACCAAAATAACATTAACTTGTCCATTTACATACTAACAAGGAGCACACGGCGGATGTGACCGTCGGATGGGAATACTCACTCCTCATTGGCACATGGGCCAAAGTTTTGATGTTTTAGAGGCCCGTATTTGTTCTCCTTTTAATTATTATTGTATAATTGACTTTTGAGTTTGAATGCTGTGCGTTATCTCCAAATATTTCATACTACTATTTGCAATTATAAGTATACCACTTCCTTGCAACGACAATAATTGGAGACTACTTTGAATGCGCCTTATTGCATTCCAAATACACAAGGACAACCACTGCCTCTTTTGTGGCCACAGACTGTACATTCTAATTACTCCATAAAGACACAAACCCTATAATCGGTAGATATTCTAAGAAAGATTCTATTCTGGTTGTAGGGGCTCTAGGTGCCTAATGCGTTACTTAGCGGTCTCTGAACTCACAGAAGTCGGTGGTCTGAATATTCTTTGTATATGTTCCAAAGAAGAAGGTGCAGTTCTACTGGAATAATTTGCTCGATGTTACTGGAAGTTATCTTAAGTTTGTTGTTTGTACACTGTCTGTATTGGTCTGGGGGTTAAGCACTTGGTCTTGCAAAGGGTACTGTTGTTTGAAGATTATCATTCTGTCTTGACTGGCATTAGTTTTCAAATTGCAACACATCGGTTCTACTTATAGAACCTTTACCAATATATGCAATATGCGTCGAGGTTTTCAATTAATTATCTAAGCGGGATCAGAATTCTGGATTAATTACAGTATTAAACAAGTTCGATGTCTGTTATGTTAGAATAATTAATATTAATTATTGCTGTTTCAAGTTCTCATACACAGAGAAGCCTAAATTTAGTTCTCTAACAAGATTAAAGATTGTCTTTGTCTCTGGTAAGCAAGCTTTCCTATATATTATGTACAGAAAGGAGGGCACAGAAAACCTAGCGAGTTCGTATGTCTCTCTTATCCTGGTTTCCAAAACAGATTGCGTTTCAAATGTAAACATTTAAATATATTTTGATGAAACTTAATACATAACCAATTTTTATCGGTCAATGTTCTCTCATTATCGGAGTTTATATTGAGTTTTCGCAAATAAATATACTGCTGTAGTAGTTACTATGAAAAAGGACCAAAGTCACCGTTTGTGGCCTCAAACTCTTAGTGTCGCCCGCGTGGCGTAAGGAGTCGACCCTTACGTCGCGGGTTCGAATTCCACTGTGGGACGTGGAGACCGGTCCTTCGAATGAGACCGTATAAACCGATGTCCCGTGTGGCAATAGGTGCTGGCACGAAAAAGATTTCTCACTGCTCAATGGCCCTAAGTGCCAAACAAAGGACAAAATTTGTAGCTCTCCACCGACAAGTGGTGACGTTTCCATAATTATGTGTGAAAATTTCTCGAGGGGGACATTAAACAACAAACAATCAATCAAATTCTTAGAACTGGCCTTATATTGGTTGTAGATAATTAGATGAATTCGATAAATAAACCGAAAAAGTCAAGTCAATTTACGGTACGAGAAGGTTATTGAGGTCAGTTGTGGTAATACTGAGTCTTCGTGCATCATGTGTACGGTCTGGAAAGAAACTGTTTGCTTTGAATGAATTTTTAATGGATTATCAAGGCCATTTGAGAAATAAAAAGGTCGATTTTATTCTTATCAGACGCAGTTGATTTTTCAGAATAGCTAATGGAGGGTATTGTCAAATGAGAGATAAAAAAATCAACAAAGGCATCGAAATAAATATAGCCGGAAGTCGAGCGGTTGACTTTTGATTAATATTCAAAATTAAAACAAAAATCAATGTACCGCTGAAATTATTTGAAGATTAAATACATGAAGTTGATAAAAATTCAAAGATTTTTTTTTTATTTTCAAAGGAACACGGCAGCTTTCAGAAGATTGTATTTAATGTGATGTTCGTAGATTTTGTATCATTTTCAGAGTGCCGATATTGCAATCTTTAACAATAAGGAAAAAAAAATAAAAAAAAATTCTAGTATTAGGTGGTGTAGGATAAATGTAAATTTATTCCTTAAATATTTTTTTTTTATTTTGTTTTGTTTTTACGAAGTCGGGAAGAAAATATATAGTTGATGACATTTTTTGTTTTATCAAAAGAATTGGGATAGATTTTATTCTACTGTATTCATAAAACTTACCTTGTAAATTAGAAGAAAGGTGTTTTGAAAAATGGCCACAATGTAAATGTGAAATAATTCGCGTTTGTTATTTATTTCACGAAAAATACTACATATATTAAAATTGACCTAGTTTCTCTTAGTAATATTACAATTAGGTTTAGTTACTATGTAAATGGCTTTAATGGCACTAGACATATTAACACTGCTTGCCTGTTGTTTTCCGCCATTGGGGACACGCCCCCAAATCAGATCAGGAAGTAGACATTTTATTTCATACTAAAGTGTCAGTGGCTTTGAACAGGATTATATTATATTAATTTACATTGAACAAATCGGTATGACAGATTATAAATTTTCCCCCAAATGCAAAAATCTGATGACATATATGTTAAAAAGAATATAAAAACAAGATGTATTTGTTAACACTTATTCCTCTCTATGGCAGCTCATGGCAAAGGTTGAAGTTTCTAAAATGCAAGTCAAACTCCGAGGTCAGGTCAAAATTGTTGATATAAAGAGTAAGGTCTTTTCAAAAGAAATACGCCTTTTAAATATAAAAACCCTAGTTCAAACTGTTCAAAAGTTATGGCGAAGGTTTTTTTTTTAAAGTAGGTCAAAGTCCAAAGTCTAATTATAGTCATGGTCAAAAGGCTAAAAAATATTAATACCTATTGAAAGGAATTGTCACAATTAATATACATGTAAAGTATGAAAGCCCTAACATTAACTGTTCAAATGTTATGACCAAATTTAAGTTTGGTATTTTTTGTAAAAGTTGGCAAAACTCCAAGGTCAAGAGGACAAATTTTTTGGTACCCAAAGAATGGCGGTTTATTAAAATATCTTTTCTTTAGAACAATAAATTAAGTTCTAATTTTTACACAGTCTAAGACTAGGAGAAATGTTCAAATGTATGTTAGATTAATAAGGGACTAATTTTTTAAAAATTTATGAAAATAATGTGATTTTCCAAACAAGCTACAATTATGTTGAAGCTTTTAAAAGCTTCTAATCTAATTCGGATAAGCCAATATCTATTTCAGTAAATTATGTATGTCATTTTGGTAGTATCGTCTTATAGAACCTTTATGGTTATATCTTTTTATGCAAAAAAGAAAAACATTTAATCTTTTGAAATAGAATTAGGCAACGCGTGATTGGCAACAGTTATTTTTTTATTCTTAATGTCGAGGGAAAATGTAATGACCTGACTTGACATTTTCCCTTAATACAAATCGGTCAAATTCAACCTAAGTGATACCATCAATTAGTGGAATAGTCTTCTTGATTCCTTGAAAATTTTATTAATTTTTAAGTACAAGAAATTTGAGAAAAATCTATCCTTAATGCATAAGAGTAAAATTTTATTTAAAAAAAATGAAGAATATGCCTCAGTCTTGAAACCTAAAGAAAAATAGTCAATCTCGAGTCCATCAGATAGAAAGCATATATTTAGTCGGGGATACGAAAATGTGGCAAGGAAGAAATATCAAGGTATAAATCAAGCGCAATGATGTCCAATTTTGAAAACCATAATGGCATTACGTCAATGAAATTTTATTTCCAGTGTGTAATTTCTCTCCACTCACGAATTTATGCTTGTTGCTTTAAGAGGATTTTAAAAAAGATATTATTGACAAATCGTAGCGCACGTGTTTGGGGATGCTGAAGATAAGAACATGTGAAATTGTGCGAGCAGTGATGAAAATTGTCACCTGTAACCGTACACGCGCCAGTCTCGCAACGGCACCCCACCGGCTTATTACCATGGAAATACACTGAAGCGTTATATGTAGAACATCCAAATCGATGGTCTTACTTATCCTGGTTTAAACATTGCTCGAAATATGATAGCAGATAAGTGCAAATTAAAGATGGCTTTAGAAAAAGGGTGGGGCTTTCTGTTTTGAAACCAGTGAATTCGTATTTAAGTAAACAGAGGGACATTTTACTGAAGTTTTCACCAAAGGGAACGTCTATTCATGTATGCTGCTTTGCGTGCTGTAGTAATTTATGATATGTAAATAAAAGTTGTAAGTAATTGACATGACATAAAATGCATGTATTTTTGTCTTTCAGTGCAGTCTTTTACACTTCTTGTGATGGTGTACGTTGCCAAAATTCCATGAAGAATGACAAATGAAAATGGTGGACGCAGAACATAGGAATAGAATTGTCTTTCTCGGAGCTGGAAGTGTAGGCAAAAGTTCGATTCTTAAGCGGTTTCTCACTGGAGAATATTCTGATCACTACGAAGAAACAGTGGAGGATCTTTACCCAGCTGAATATGACGTCAGAGATACACATCTATTGGTTGACTTTTTGGACACGGCGGGAAACATCGCGTTTCCTGCCATGCGCAGACTTTCCATTACTAACGCTCAAGCATTTGTTCTAGTGTACTCTATAACAGACATTTCAACGTTTGAGGAGGTAAAGCAACTGTGGGAACAAATTAAGGAGGTGAGGAGCACGTATGAGACGATCCCGATCGTTATTGTCGGCAACAAGCTGGACTTGGAAAACAACCGCCAAGTGGAAAAGTTCGATGCGTTAAACTGGGCTTACAATGACAACCTGGGAAGTGCTTTTGTTGAAGTCTCGGCCAAAGATGATGATTCCATCAAGGATATTTTCAAAATGCTTCTTGATCAATTAAAGACTCCTCGTTCCAAACATCCCGACAAGTTCATGATTCGGCGATCCAGTACGAATTCTATCGAACCCGTGGTGCATGAAAGTACCGAAGCAGACGATCTGAAAATGCAACGAAGCAGAAGCCTTATTCGACGCGGGAGCAAGCCAAAAATGAAGCGGTCGTCCCGAGGGAACAAAAATGACTGTTCTCTGTCGTAGCGGCCGATAATTAATAACTTGCTTATGGATGCAGTTAATATATGATGATTTTATTGGTGACGAAACATTCCATTTAATGTCCGATTTTAAGAATCTTTCGTAATATTTAAAGTAGCCTTTTTCTATTTTGAATTATTGTGCGCGGTGCATTTTTAAATTAATATGAAGAAAACTGTGGCCATTTCGTTTATTTTAAGTGTATTTTGTACATTCTTTGTGTTTCATTGCATTTCGGGCGAAAAAAATGCTATCGTAAAGGTAACCGAGGTTTGAAAATATAAATTTGTAAAAATTTCATCTGTGAAATTGATATTTTCGAAACTTTCTTTTTGATCAGAATTGAGATTTCTGTTTCTTAACGGAAAAACTTGACATCGAATAATTGTACCTTTTTTAAAAAATCTTCAAAGCATGCCTGGAGGACGTCTCACGAATTCCTATCCTTTAACCTTGAAAAATGACGTCTCAATTCAAAGTATTATTCAGATGATTTTCTGGAAATACGATTGATTTCTAAACAATGCCAAAAATATTTTTATTTATTGAATCCTTGAAATACATATGAACCCACTAAATTTGTCTTTCAAAAAGCACATCTTGTTTATATATGGTACATGTATAAGATCCACTTTGGATACTGCATTATTTTTGAAGTTCAACTTTTCGTTGTTTGTGGAAAAATAATTGGCTCTAGGGGATTTGATTTCGTCGTTAAAAGAGAAACAATACATAGAGATATGAAATTTTCATATTTCGAGGGGGTGGGGGTTATGGAATTTGTAGGTGTCTTTATACCACAAAAAGATCGTAACTTAACCCCCATAAAATGACTTTTTTCCCTCAGTATTGGTAAATCAACGATGTTTTAACAGGTATATTACAAGATTGTCAAGGTAGCAGTTATATTGTGACGTCTTTAAACGAGTGAAAAATTCTCGAATGGAACGTACATGACGTAAAACAACATACAATCAATCAATCTATCACAATTTAAAGTTTGTTCATATGCTTAACGAATTATGGTTAGAACGGTACCTAGTGAAAATGGCACCTGGTGAAAACGGCACCTGGAATATGCAAAACGGCACTTGGTTAAAACCTAAAAACATCACTTAGTAGGCCTATATAATTGTGCTAATATATAAAGATATATATATTTGACATGTTCAATTCAAAATTTAATTTATTGTCTTTAGAATTTTTTGTGGCTTCAATTTTGCATTATTTTCAATCTAATTTTAAAGGTAGTATTTATAACAGTGTATAAGCTATAACACAACAATATGTGGGATTAAAAATGATTATATTTGTAGTGTAGTGTTGATGATATGAAAAAAAGAAATGGTGTAAATGATTTTTAAAAAATATATATATTTACAGCAAGAGTCACTTTTTATCTCACATTTCTATCTAATTCTGTAGAAATTATTTTAACAATATCAACATTGTTTCCTCTTCATTATAAAAAAACAAATGTTTTGTTCTTCTACATGTTCTATGTACATGTTTATTATATTGTTAAATGTTGTATGACTATTCATATTTTATGTACAGTTGGGAGAGGATTATCTAAGTTTTTCTAACTTGTGTAAATCCATTTGACATTATGACACAATAGTAGCTGAATATGGCAAATTGACTAAATTTGAAGCTTTTGTTTCCTACTTCACATACTCTAACTGGTTACATTGTGAACCCCCAAAACAGTCATATTTGCAACACTATAATTTTTTTTTAATTTCAAAGGATCATATATAATGATATATATCATTGGGATTTGATCTTTTTTGTAGAAAATAATAGATATATAATTTAAAATAGAAATACATTTTTAAAAATCGACATAATTTTCAATGAATCAGTTTAATTTTTCTCCTAAAATATTTTTAAAACATTTTTATCAATAATAATATACAAATTTATTACATATATGTAATATAAAGTTTTTCTGTATAAACAAAATCATGCTTACGTGCAGTGCCGTTTTGCATATTTCCTAAGCAAGATTCTAGTTATCTTCAATGATGTTCCTGTGCTACGGAAATTATGGGGTCTAACTCCGACGGCGTTGACAGCAGCAGGTCAAAAGCGACAAGTCTTACTTGAATTAACCTTGAATTAACCTTGGATGGTTAAGGATGAACACTACCAAATGCTTCGAATTCTGGATCTGACCTATGTTTTTCAGATAAGTGACCAGGGTATAGTTTATGGGACAGGTCATTTCCCAAGTAACTATAAGCCCTATAATGACAAAACTTGCAAGGATGATGCAAGATGTACACAAACAAGCCTGCTTTTGATGCTGGTACTATGTGTTTCTTTTGAAGCATACTTTCATCTGTATTTTGATTTCCAATTGACCATTTTTTCTACATTCGTTTTACTATGTTATCCAAAACCCTTCCTATTCTGAAACAAAATCTGTCCATGTATATGTTGAATTGACAGGTTTTACTGTACCACTGAGGTAGTTTGTGAGATTTTAGTTCCCTGAGTTAAATTAAATTTCCTGAGGCAGGAGGGGGGGGGAGTGTTATGTCATTATTAGTGGGGAAATTCCCTAGCCCCCAAGTCTGTTTAAGAGTAATTGTAGGGCTAAGAAATGAGGGGAAAATACTTGTACTTGGAAATTATTAAAGGTATAATAAATTTAAATTTCCTTTTTAGGGTAAGGGGAAAAAAGAGCAGCAATATATTTAATTCTATTTTAAAGAGTATATTCCCCTTCCCCATTTCAATTCATAATCTACACCAATCTAATATTGCTGAACATTTCATTGCATTCTTGCTTCAATTAAATGTGACTCATTCTCTCACAGGAAAAAAAGAATTGATATAAAATGAAATAATAAGAACTCTTAATCCACTGGAGGAAAATACCTAGAGATACAGTGCTGGGGCACAAAAAGGAAGTATGGCAAATTATGGAGAAACATCTTATTAACTGAACCTTTATTGGAAAATACATGTATGATAAGATTTCAAGAAATTTTGTTCAGATAAATATTAATCATTTCAACAAGCTTATATTAAATTAAATCTTGTTTTCAAATTAAAAAAAACAACAACACATGGATGGAATATTGGAAAAACAGGCAGGTATACATGTACACCTGAAATCTGTTATTTGTGAGATAAAATATTGTAATTCACAAGGGGTGTTTGAAAATTCAATAGGCCATATTATTTGTACACATAGCTGCAAATGCATCTATTACACAATACAAGACTGCATGATGCAGAAGTTAATAATTCAATATGTTTAGTCTGATTTATCAGTTAATTCTCCCTGTGTCTACAGCCATAAAATAAGTGACACCTGCTAACACTGTAAAATCAATGTGTGAAATTAAATATTGATATTCAACATTTAAATAGCCAATAAAATGAATATTAAAATAATATCTTGTAAATATCTAATTAAAATAACAGAAGTCATTGGTAACACTTTATGTCTATTGGTTTTTTATCCATCTGTTAAGAGTTTATAGCTGAAATACAACCAAACCTGTCCTAAGTGACTTTGATGGAGATTTTAAATTATAGTCAGATATGAAAGTAGTCTTTTAAAGCAGGGAATCAAATTAGAATCATTTTCACACTTTGTGTTTAATAAAGTCGACTTATATGTTTATGTACGTTAAATATAATTATTTGTACTAATTGTTTTTATCCCTAATTGCTTTAAGCCTATATTTGATTTTTTAAAAAGAAAATCCAAAACAAATTTGTTTTTATCATGTTTCACACTTTTACAACTGTACAGTTTTAAGACTCCTGGTGACAAGATGATACCTAAATCGGACATGTACCAAAGGGACTCTGTATGTACCGGTAGCAAATCAAACCAAACAGTAAAGTTGTACAATACAAAATAAATGTCTTGGTTTTAAATCATGCAGTGAACATCTAGCTGGTTAACTATTTAATTACACAAAAACGAGACAATTTTAAAGTGATCATATTATACAGGAAAATACTGTTGGATAAATTAAAATATACATGTACTAACTATATATACATTTGTAGCCAAAATAGAAATAGCTCAATATAAAACTGGCAGTTAAAAATGTTCTTTAAACAGCAAGACAAAACAAGTTCTGATGGAGTATCTGATGGAGTATCACAGATTTAGGATTCTATTGACACAGCCCTCAATGGCTCACTCGTCAAAGTTCTGGGAAGCGAATTGTAGGGCATCTCGTATCTTGGAGCGGCTGAAACCATACAATAGATAACGTTCTTAATCAACTTCCCTGTATGACATCACAAAGAGAGGAAAAAAAGAGGACTTCTTCAACGATCGAGCATCATCCAAATCGATTTTCAGTGAAGTAAAGAAAAAAATACTTGATAACCTTTGTCATACGCTGACTCAGATCTTCAAGAAAATATGACCTCATGGTCGTAATTTATATTTTAAAGTATTAAATGAATTATTTGCTTCTGATCAAAATCAAACCCTTCTTATAGAAATTTCAACTCAACTTCACTGACCTACTACTTTTACAGGAAGGTCGTTGTTGAGAGGTCAAGGTCAGAGAAGGTTCAGGGTTACTAGATGACATTCGTGAGTCTGTGTAGTCAATGCCACAGGCGGTCCTCAGGGATTCGAATCTGTTGCAATAAATATAAACTGATGAATGTAATAAAAACAAGAAAAAAAATAACCAATTTGAAACTTTTAGCCATTGTGTACTAATTATGTTAGTTTCCTGTCCATAGCCTTCATGTGACAATGCTGTTAAAATCAAAATGAAATTAGATGAAGGTTACTTTCTGTTTAATGAGCGAAGTGAACTTGAAACTGCACTGCATGGTATTGTTTTGGGATAGGATTTATATACAGAACTGCTCTCAATGGCATAAAAGCTTTTTGGCCCTTAAGAGATTCAAATTTTCTGACTATTTTATGAGTTGACAGCAAGATAAAAGAAGATAAATGACTACAGAGGACAGTCAACAGATTAAATTACACCAGCTTTGTATGAATTTATTTAATTTCCTTTAAACGATAAAATAATTGATCTGTTGGCTGCTGTGATTGGTGGGGTCTGGTGCCCAGATGTTGTTATATTGATTTTACTTTAACTTCGCTGTCTGAGGTGTGATAAGCAATGTTTAAAGTTCGTAAGTAGGAAAGTATCAAAAGATCTCGATATACTCTGTACGAGAAAACCTCGACAAAATTATCAATAGTAACAAATCATCAAAGATTACACAAAAAATGAAAAAGATATTTCATTACAAAAAGATGAAGCTATTCACTGCTGTGGGTGACAGATGCAAATATTGAGCAACATGCCACATTTCCACTCGAGATAAAACAGCAAGATCACTGCCTACAGAGCAACGTAAGTATGCCCCACTCGAGGAATTACCAACACAATCGGGACAGAAGTGGATTTAGCAAATCTACTCCAGCTACGGCAGTAAAAAGTTCCATAGCAACGTGGCATGCAGGTGTTGCATGACAGATTGCTTTTCATGTAATTAAATAATCAAACATACAGGATACATTTTATGATATACCATCAATACAGAACCAGGATATTAGAGTTTAACATGGGCAGTACAATGCAAGTTTAAAAGTTTTAAACATATTGACTAGAAAGGGCATTACAATTATCCGTATGTTCATTTTTTTATACTATGGTGCAAAAGTAACATGACAGGCTGTCATCTATAAATTAATATCTGAACATTTGTATTTAATAATATATTTACATTTTAAAATAGAGAATCCCAACTTAATTTAATATCAGAAAGTAACAGCTAGGTAACCACCCCCTCTCCCCCTTTACACAAACTGAATAATATATTATGGCAAGTACTTCCACCATGTACAAAAGGGTTGCAACTGTAAATGTTGTACGGTTGCAGCTCAAATTTAAAGACAATGCATGATGTTCATCAGTCACTTGATTTTTTAAGAGAAAGAAATATATAATTTTCCAGTCTATTTCAAGTGCCTGGTGTTTATCAGCTGCTGAAGTCCAATATTCTTAAAATCCTGGAGCAACACGGTAACCCTTGGTCTTTTGCCAATAAAGCTAGTGAGACCTAAGTGCATGCATATGTAGAGATGTAAAAGAGTGCATCTTTGCATTAACTGCAACACTCTCCAAACTTCATTTTGACAATTTCTTCCTTAGAGTAATTGGAATGCCCACTCATAGTCAATTTCAGAAAGCTTTGGCATCGCCCAAGGAATAAAAATAAGAACTCTTTTTTTCAGAAAAATTGCTTTTTTGCTTTTGATGTCCTCCTTTTCCAACATTATTTACTGAAAATGCATCAGCACCAATGCTGAGTTGACAGAATAAAAAATGTTTTGTTTGTCAGATTAATCTATATTTATATGTACCCTGAGGTAGAGAAAAATGATTATGTGAGAGACATACATTCTTCAATCTTGCCTAGACTTTTTATCCTTGAAAGATAAGATTAATCTTGCATCACCAAATATAAAGGAGTAGAGTCTTAAGATGCACTTCAGCCATCTACAGACATATCCCCATGGTATTTTCATGTCACAAAATGGTCCAACAAGTACGCTATGATCTGTTGTCTCCCTCATTACCTAAGAGCTAAGATGAATGATTCTGACACCATTAACCTGAATTAATTGAATGCTTGAATCTCTTCCACCGCTCGGGAAACAATAAGTGAATCAGGCAAGAAAATCTCACCGAGCACACAACAAGCAAATCCACTCAGCTACGAAAGTGAATCATACTTTGTGAGATGGACACGATAACTTTATCTATGTCGTACTAATTGCATCACATACTTTTTTTTAGCACACAAGGCAGACTAGGGCATATGGTTTAATTTCAAATGATCTTAAAGACTAATGCCCTGTTCACACGGAGAGTTTAATTCGAATTAAACGTAAGTTTACTGCGAATTAGCTTCGCTTAGCGTTCACACGGAGAATTTAATGCGAATTAGTTTACTTCGAATTAGTTTACTGCGCATTAAATTACTTCGCATTAGCTCCGTGTGAACGCTAAGCGAAGCTAATTCGAATTAAATTCTGACGCATGCGTAATGGCAATATTTAGTCAAATGCCACTTGTCGGTGGTCAGCTATAGGTACTTTTGCTATTTTTGAGTGAAAAACTAAGGAAAAGTTTGTAAATCATTAAAATGTGTATACAGACACTTTGTCATTATGCCAAATGGATCTGCTTCAGCATAAGGTGACATGATTTGCAAATGACGTCATAATAGCACGCCACTGCAGAAGTAACCTTTTAATTCGCATTAGTTTACTTCGCATTAGCTGTCGTGTGAACGCAATTTAATTCGCATTAGTTTGATTCGCATTAGTTTACTTCGCATTAATTTACTGCGAATTAGATTCTCCGTGTGAACAGGGCATTAATTGTGTAAACGTGACTTCTTCATCCCTCTGGAGAAGACAGAGTCTTATTTTTCACAAAGAGTTGTCCCCTGAGAAACCAGAGACTAGATTCTGCCCATGGCTGTACATCTTCAAAATTAAAACGGATGAACTGATGCAATTGATAGGAAATAAATCCGGCTAGATTAATATTTATGTACTAATATGGAGCTGAGGTGGGCATGAGGAGAAGACTTTTTTTTAGACTCAATTAATGACATGGAAATGCCTGAAATAAGAAACCAATTTGTGTTGTAATTTCCATAACAATGGCACCTACTAGCCAAGTGTTGGTGGACTTTTTTTCATAAAGCCCAAGAATGATTTAATACCTATATATACATAAATTCATGTAAAAGATTCCTCTGGGTAATTCAACCCAGACACTATTGAATCCTATATACATAATGAATTCTGCATTGCAGAAAAAGGAAGTTCCATGATAGAGCACTGCTTGGTTTGAAGATACAGTGTTCCGAGAGCTAGAAACTCCTTTTGTGGGGGAGGAAAACTGAAGCCAGATTCACCATTATGGGTCCAAAGGGACCCTAAGCTCGAAAACCCTCCAATTACTAACACAAAAGAACAACTAAAAATAAATGAATATCTTTAAGTTAATCCTGCTCATCCCCATGTGCTGTAGAAAGGTTTTTCTTTTTATGCATCCTATACCGGTATTTATTTCAAAACTTCCATCGTCCCTTAATTCTGTTGTACATGTACGCTTAAAAATAGATTCAAACCATGTTCAATAGAGATAGAAAAAATTAATATGGAAAAAGCATTTCTTTTTCAATATTTCCTACAGCGTAAATAGTATACCTATCCATAATGCTTTTTTCAAATGAAACCATTTCATTGTCCATAGCCTTCATCTGCGTCTCCACTTGTCGGACACTTATAACTGTAAGAAAAAGATTAATATAAATTTTAGATGATTATCTCACTATAATAGTATTTTTATGCCCTCTAATCAAAGATGAGGAACAAAGAGTTTTTGTCCTGTTCATTCGTCTATCTGTTTGTCTGCAAAAAAAATTTAACCCTATCCATTACTTTAATTGGTTGGAGCCATGGCTTCCATATTTTTTATAGTTGGATTTATTTTTACCCTTGACCTTGACCCACTTTTGACAAATTTTAACCTTGGCCATAACTTTTGTATTGTTGGAGCTATGGCTTTCTCATTTCTTAGTTGTTTTTCTTGTGTTTCCTTGGGTACCATTAATTTTTATTCTCTTCGCCCTTACTTTGGAGTTTGACTTGCATTTGAGAATCATGAGCAGCCATATGGAAGCATCAGTGCTTCACAAACACATCTTATTTTCTTTAATTTTGATTAATTACAGTCCCCAGTATTATAATCAATATGGCTGGTGTATTGATATCTTTTGGAGAGAAAAAAAAATCATTAGTTATAAATATATTGTTCTAAAGAGATCGAGTCACAAGGGATTGCACCATTAACATTTTATTGCTTTGAAATGAGAGAAAAATATGATAACTTTTTCTCAATTATCTTTGATTGATAACATTTGCTACTTCATTTTTCACCGCCAAAGAGAGCTTGGATATTGATAAGCCTAAGCTGCCAGAAATTGTAGATCAACTTATAACAATGACTCTATGGCATTTGAATCTATCGCTAGCCAAGGTTCTCCCATTTAAAATCTTCAGTAGGACTAAATTTCGGATTGGCAATCCTTACCTAGCAAAGAATAGGAGACTAGGGATACAAAATCTACTGTCTTCTTATCAATCTTAATTTCTTCACAAAAATCAATCCTCACTTTTCTTTTTGCGTCTCAAGCTTTACAATGCTTATATGGATGTGAGCAATATATATTCTTGGTGACCAACTTTTCAAAAAAATTGATTTTGGCAGCCACTGGGTCAAGAATAACAAGAAAAGATATGTCATACATAACTCAGTGAGTTTACCTACATTTATCTAGTTTTAAAAAATTAAATTCTTACCTATTAGAACAAAGATTACATTTAATTTGAATCATGTGTCATATTCATATTAATGACACTTTATGTCTTGGCCACTACACATTCAACATCTCTCTCTCTCACAAAGTTCTAGCTTCAATTATCTGAGTTTTGGCTTCAATTATGTATTATGTACTTATTTTTAAGGGGTCCAGATTTAAATATACATTCAGAAAAATAAACCACTTGCAATTTAAATCAGCTGGAATTTATGACCTAATACTGTGAAATTGACATCAAAATACAATCTATCTTTAAATAAAATACTGATTGACATTTTTCATACTAATTTTAGGCCATTATTTACACAGTACTGAATTGTTGACAAATTTCTCCATGTTTTCCCAATCATGACAAGGATCACACGGTGGATGTGACCATTTGGCAGAGGATGCTTACTCCTCCATGGCACCTGATCCCACGTCTGACGTTTTAGATGTTTGTATTTACTCTGCTTCAAAATTTGTATTGTTTAATGGACTTTTAAGCTTGAATAGTTTTTGTTATCTTTGTTAATGTATTTCATGCACTAGAAGACAAAATAAAATGTAAAGAACATGGAAAATAGTAAAATGAGAACAAAAAAAAGTCTGAATTCTTGGTGAAAGGAATTTCACAGGTTTGTTGGATTACACCTTTTTAAACTATATATTATCAGCTTTAAACAAGATGTGTTTGTGAAACACTGATGTCCCCATATGGCAGCTCAAGGCAAAGGATAAAGTTTCTCAATGTCAGTCAAACTCCAAGATCAAGGTCAGAGATAACAGAAAAATGGTCTTGTCACAAGAAATATACCTGTGAAATTTGGAAACATTAGCACAAACTGTTAAAGTTAAAGTTTTTCAACAGTAGGTCAAACTCCATGGTTAAAGTCAAGGACTTAAATTTAAGTGTGCCAAAGGGGAGGCCTTAGCAAAAGGATTACATGCAAGATATATGGAAGTCCAAGCACCAATTGTTCAAAAGTTGTGGCCAATGTTAATGATTTTACAAACTTAGATTAAACTCCAAGGTCAAGTTCAAAAGGTCAAATTGTTGGTTCCCAAAGAAAGATCTTGTCACAAGGAATACACATGAAATATGAGAACCATAGCTTTAACCAATCAAAAGTTATGGGTAAGATTCAAGTTTTTTTCAAGCAAAAAGACTGTTAGCTAGACTGATGGACAACGGCTATAAAGCTATAAGCTGCCAAATCTTTGATTCTGGGGGCATAAAAAGAAACCTAGTAAAATCAGAATAAACAAGAGGCCCAGGGGCCACAGCGCTCACCTGAGCACATCGGCTAGAAAAAAAGCACATATCAGATCAGAACTGAAAGTTTTGAGGTTGGGAAAAAAAATCATATTTCAAAAGTAGAAACAGCTACCATTATGTGTGTCCATATAAATATTACTAATTATGGCTTTGAAGTACTTGAAAAGAAGATTTTAAATGGTTTCCCTATATATTCATATGTAAAACTTTGGTCGGCCATTTTAGCCCCACCCTACCCCAGGGGGTCATAATTTGAACAAACTTGAATTTACAGTACCTAAGGATGATTCCACATGAGTTTCATCTTTCCTGGCCCAGTGGTTCTTCAGAGGAAGATTTTTAAAGATTTTTCCTATATATTCCTATGTAAAACTTTGATCGGCCATTTTGGCCCCAGCCTACCTCCGGGGTCATGATTTGAACAAACTTGAATCTACACTACCTGAAGATGCTTCCATATAAATATGACCATTCATGGCTTTGTTATTCTTGAGAAGAAGATTTTTAATGACTTTATCTATACATTTCTATGTAAAACTTTGGTCGGCCATTGTGGCCCCGCCCTACCCCCGGGGGTCATGATTTGAACAAAATTGAATCTACACTACCTGAGGATGATCCCACATATGTTTCATCTTTCATGGCCCAGTGGTTCTTGATAAGAAGATTTTTTTTAAAATGCCATTAATTTTTCACTAATTCACAATTATCTCCCCTTTGAAGAGGGCTTGGCCCTTCAATTTGAACAAATTTGAATCCCCTTCACCCAAGGATACTTTGTGGCAAGTTTGGTTGAAATTGGCCCAGTGGTTCTTGAGAAGAAGATGAAAATGTGAAAAGTTTAACTGAAAGTTTGATCAGAATAGCTCACTTGAGCCTTCGGCTCAGGTGAGCTAAAAATGTGTACAACTGATAATAAGTCAGCTACATATGTGATATCAACCATAATTTATTGAAAAAAATCCATATTTCATAAAGTCAGCAAAGAGCTTATTTTTGTATGTGCGTTATGAATAAAATTATCTTTTTTTTCATTCCTATGGCATTAACCTATCAAATAGAATTTCAAAATTAACTTTTCCAATTTATATTCCTGTATTTAGAATTCTATTGGAAGTACATGTACTTACTAGTGGATGCTGACATAGGTCTCATTATTGGTGCACCTCGGTGGGTATGCCTTTTTATGTGGGCCTGCAAAATAAAGACACAGTTCAACTCCATTATCTTGAACATTGAATGACATCCTGAATCCCAGGGATAAGTACCTGGGGTAGAAGGGATTTGGCAGTCTCGACCATTTTTTCTTTACTTTTCTTATAACCTCATAATCTACATGTATTATTCTCAGCTGATTTGAAGGTATTAAATTCAGTTTAACCCTAAACCTGAAGAGTTTGAGATAACAAGGTTGGACTGTATACCGGTATATAGAATAGACATATGAATTCTAATAATGGTCTATTTTAAGTTAGGTGACTATAATACATAGCTTCATTTTGTTTGCAAAAAAAGATTCTTTTTTCTCCCACAAATGGAGATTATCATCGAGATAAATTTGATAATATTACATAAAAAACACAACATATGAGTTTTTTGAAAATTCTGTTTAATTCTCATGGTCATATCTCTAATAATTTTCCTTCTTCAAAACTTTGCAATGTTTTTTTTTTATTTGAATGAAGTGGGTTTGGCTCTTGATGCGTGAGCCCTATAATTAGCATTTTGCAATATTCAAGCTGTAAGGTCATAAAGAAAGTCAAGCTATTATGTTAATTTTTATGACATAATAACATTGTTTATTCAGTAATATAATGGCTGAGATTATTCAAAGATACCCATTTTTTTGAACCTCAATATATAGATTTTTTTCTTCTTGAATATTTTTTTCCAAATATGCTAGATAATTATTAAAATAAATTGGGCCTAATCAATAAACTAGTTTCCAGTGAAAAAAAAAGAATTTCAAAATCCCTTTTGATTAGCATGATCAATTTTCATCTTTACTGTGAAATCATGCAGTTAAGCCATTGACTTAAATATTCTAAAAATGCACAAATCTAAAGTAAATTCATAAATAATTCCCACTTATATTCCTATTAACAAATTAATGCTTAAAATAAACCCTATCAAAACACCAGACATCTTCCAACTCCGATCGAAAATCCTGACTAATATCAAAAACCAATAAATGCATTTGACATGCAATGAACACAATCCCTTCCCGTTAAAAAACCAGAGATTTAAAAGAAGTATCAAAAGCTAATCACTGAGTCAATGAGATAACTATCATTGATCAATCACCTACAAAGAGCTTATGCAGTGTTTAAATGATAATAATCACAGAATCAGAACCCCCAGGTGATTGGTTCTTAGCTTATTTCCAGTTAGTTGGCTTTCCATTACGGATTACGATTCTGGAATTGATTCAATAATGTCATCCCATCCTTCTCTGCAATTAAATATAATTTTTTCTCCATTCGATGAAAACTAAATGCATTATTTACTGCATTTCACAAGAATATTGTGATTTAAGAAGAATGTTGTGATTTGATATGGAATATTCCTGGTTTACTGCATACTTAATACTTTTACTTTTATATCAATCCCACCAGGACCTTATAAGGGGGGGTGGGGTGAAAATGCTGTACACATCCTTTAGCTGAGGAAATATTTTGATCCTCTTCACTTATAAATGATGCTGTATAGTAAGTGTGTTAGAAATATATAACTCAAGGTTCCAGAGATATTGGGAATATGAAAAGTAATCAACAGAGATAGACCAAGAATCAAACGTTGGCCAGAAAAGCTTTACATTGGCCTTTAATACTTCAGAGACTTTTTTTTTTTCCCATTAAATGGCCTTGTTCTAAATCAAAAAAGATTTTTTTTTATTTGTGAGGTACTTAATTTGTGTGTTATGACAGTTTTCAGACTTATATATGTTCTGCAAAGTCAAATAATGCTCAGTTATATCTTTTGTCACCATGCATGTCAAACACAATCTACCAATACATTACATGTACACGGAATGTAATTGATATAAATCTTCAAATTATGCTTCATCAACCAATTCCATAATAACATGATGAAGATAAAACGCTGTGACTTTGGTATATAATCAGGTCACATTTTCTCTTTATATAAAGTTATAAATGCTCTCATTTTTGTATTTTGTGCCTATCATTATTTTCAATTACTGTGTAAGCTTCTACATGAATTTCAAATGAATCATTTATAGACACATGTGGTATATTTTTGTGTATAAAAAACTGTAAGATATCTGTAAGATATGTCAACATCGTGTTTATTGCAGGTCACACTGTAATACTTGCACATGTAATGCATAGTATGTCACAGGGAAAAAGAGATGTAACGAGCAGGACCAGAATTTAAGTCCCATATCATATCAAGCAAGAAGTATACTGGTATCTACAACAGGTAAATACATGTTGGTATTGTGACTCCGTCCATCTGTCTGTCTGTTCAGTTCAAAGTTTAACATGTAGTTGACCTTAATCCCAGTTGTGTCTTTTATTCAAAGACACATCATTAATGTTAAGATCAATGGGCTATTCAGTTTGAGCCATAACTGAAGAATTGTGATTGAAATGAATTCAATTTTGAATATGATTTTGCTTATGGCATAGAAGTTTGTCATGACTTTGTCTGTAAGATATGTCAACATCGTGTTTATTGCAGGTCACACGGTACAGTTTTTTTTCTTTAAATACCAAATAAACAATACTTCCCTTTACATTGATTTTGTCATTTTTGAGAGAAAGCAATTACAATCACCTCCACATGAAAGTTAAGCAAAATTTCTGAACATTTTCTCATTTCACTAATTTCAAAAATCTTTGTAGGTGAATTTTATCTGGACTTGAAGTTATTTTCTTGTGAATTTATGAAGTAATTTGATGTTACTTTAGAAGTAGAGATGTTTGCCTATGATCAGTTACTAACTCCATCGAGTATCTCCAGCTGAGGAATGATGGCCTGGATTTCTGCCATGTAGTGGGTGTGTTCTGACCCAGGGGCACAGAAGGGGTTCTCATACAGGAACAGCTCAGCGATGTCCTCGCATCTCTCCAAACAGCACTGTAAAATCAAAGGACAACATGTCATAATACCAATATACAATACTTCCATCACTAATACTGTTCTGTTGTTAAACAGTGAAAATAAAGTATATGACATAAGGTTATAATTCTTGTCAAAATACCCATGGTTTGGACCAAAATTTACTAATACTAACCACTTCATCTAAAGTTTTAATACTGTTACAGCTGATGTTGAAAATCTCCAGTCGAGGAAAGACGTCGGGTATGAACGAGAGCTCTGATATTCTGTTTCCAGAGGCATACAATTCCTGAAGACTTCTATAAAGGAAGAGATCAATGGTCAAACATGATTATCATTAATATCAATCTTATCAGTACTTATTTATTAAAGAAAAAACTATGTTAAATGTCAATAACTTACTTTGACTTTCCTAGTGATTTCAAACTAGTTATTTGATTGGAAGAAATATTTAGAGTCTGAAAAAAAAGAAAAATTATTCACATCAGGGATTCTGAATTGCATGTTTAAAAGAGTGTTTTCCTTTTGCTGGTGAAACACAGAGTTGAATCTGCATGACATTACTTACTCAACAATCTAAAATTTTAATACTTATGTATAAAAAATAGGAATAGTTATCTAAAAGAGAAATAGTATCTGAATGGAGATAAGCCATACACATACCTGGAGGTTTGCAAGGTTCCTGATACCAGATAAATCTGTGAGCCTGTTTTTAGAGACATCAATGTCTTGTAATTTTTTACATCGTGACAGATCCACAGTTTTGATTCTGTTTCCTGCTGCATAGCACTCTTCCAAATTTGGCAAGTAATTCAAAGCCTGAAAAACATGATTTCTTCAGTTAAACATTATAAAAATGCTAAATTATCCAGAATAATGCAAGACTCCTATATAGGAGATTGGTATACAAGCATCTACTCAAAGACTTTTTCCCCTCAGAAATGAGTGATTTTTTATCAAAATAGTATTCTAAATAGTATTTTTAAAATCTGCCTGAAGAGAATTACTTGTTGCATGACATACAGTAAAAATTCTATCTATCAATTTGGTTTTTTACTATAATTTTCCTCAATACAGTTTATATTCACTAAGAGAAACATCTTCAGTAAGGAATTTACTTAAATATTTCTTTAACATTTAGGCTATACTCACAGACAGGTTATCCACCAAGTTGTAGCTAACATTGATGGACGTCAACTGAACACAACAGGACAACTCGGAAGCATCCAGGCGTAAAATCTTGTTACAGTCTATCCGTAAAGTCTTCAACTTCTTCAGTGAGGAAAAACCCTTGCCTAAAATAATTGAGAACAAAATTGTTGCTTCATAAGAAAATTAGAAATATGCTTTTGCCATTGATATTAAAGAGAAAATGTTTTGGGTTGAATGCCTTACCTAACTGCTTCAGTTTGTTGTACTGAAGTTGTAATGCAACCAATTCTTTTAAGCTATGAAGGAAAAAAAAAAGAAAAAAAGTTAACTGTGATTTATAATTCTGTTACAATATAATCCACAATAGAATGCATATTTTAAAATCTTCCTACATGCATTTTAGTTCACTGTAATTAAGTCTAATTGAATTGGCCTTAAAAAAATCAAGTTAAAGCTGTCATGATCAAAGTTAGTTTGCAATGCATTAAATAGCATATCATTTTAACTATCCAAGACTACTTAACTATTAAAGTGACATAATTTTTTGTTGTCTGTGCATCATGACTTTATCAATATTACTAGGTCTTTATTCCCATTTTATTAAAATCACTTCTAAAATGGCCACTCTCTTATACAGTTAATTCTCGATAAACCGCCACCTTTTGTGATTTAGAAATCATGGCGGTATAACGAATTTGGCGATGAATTGAATTTCCCATCTTTTAGGAAACAAGAAGTAGAGTTACCATTCTTAGAAATACCATAAAGCGTTTCTATTCTTATAATTACATGTACATGTATATAAAACATATTTCTAAATTTTGAAATACTTCAAGTACTTTTTTATGTACAATTTCTTTAAAACAAAATGTGCAGTTATGAAATAAAGACAAGTACATGTGCATCTAGTACATGTAAATCGGCACGTCCTTGTTTCGATATATTGCTGACAGTACGTAAAATGGTTTGTTGAATAAATTTATTGTTTATGGCATCATAGTTAGTGAAATGTTCACAATTTATACTGTATAATTATTTTTAGGCAAACTTTGCATTGTTTAAAGCAGAGATCATCAAAATAATATTGTATTCGGCGTACTTTCACAACTACCCCTTTAGTGGCGAAGCCGTGACTAAATGATTTTTTAAACAAAACAACGGAACAATACATAACCCGCGTAAGCGGGTTATGTAAATTTTTTCTGCAATAGCTGCGACCGTTATTTATTGTTTATATTTATATCTGTTTAAATTATCATTTTAAGTAGGATTAAAAATATTAATTATTGTGTTAATGATGCGAACCTCTTTGTACGTTTCATTGATGGAACGGCCACTGATCAAGAAATTTGTACAGATGATATGCCTAATGTAGTTCATGCAGTGATGAACGCAATGGGTTTTCTTAAGAAATAAAGAAGAAAATATTCAGTGGATGTAAATATATCGAGATAATTGACACTTTAAAATAGACGTTTGTTTTGAAAACAGGGTGGCGGATGGCGGTATGCGAATTTGGTATTATAAAGAGAATTTTATATAGCAGGAAAAACGTTCTTGGGAAATCATGGCGGTATTGCGAAAATGGCGATGAATCGAATGGCGATAATTCGAGAATTGACTGTACATTATTTCCTTGTTTCGAATAATTTTTAAACATCTTTGCATGGGTTGAATTAATTGATCAATAATAAAATAGATAAGTACATCTGAATATGGTGAAGAAGTTATAAAAAAGACTCAGTCACATGCAGCTTCCGTTTAAGATTTACAATGACATATGTAAACATGTACATGTACAGGTACTTACTTTTTAAGATTTTCCACAGCAGTGAGTCTGTTGTCATAGAGCTTCAGTTCTCTCAGATCCTAAAAGGAAAAATGCCTAATCATAAATCCTGCAATTTCAATTTTTTAAAAAGTTTCTGCTGTAAAATCTACCTTCCTTTTTAACACGTACATGAAAAGAAATCAAACCTTTCCACTCTATATTACAGATAGTAGGTGTAAATTAATGTCAGCCTACCTTAGACTGGTCCAAGTTTTCAATCCGTTCTATGTAATTACAGGATAAATCTAACACTCGCAAATTTGGAAACTGAAAGAGATACAGGAGATACAATTTTAATTTGAGTTTTCGCTAAGTTATTGAAAAATATATTTTATACTTATAAAAAACAACAATTCTTATTCTGAAAAATATATGCAGTAAAACATCGTTTAAAATTATACACCTTTTAGAATGATGGGGAATGAAAACTCTTCATTGTAAGAATGAATTTGTTAAACTCCGGCTTGCTTGATCTGTATTTTACTGACTGTCAGTATAAGGTCACATGGTTTTATATTTCAATACCCCTAAAATGATATTTAACATGAGGAAAGTTGGGGTTTTCAAACCTTGTCTAGTTTTGGCACCACTGTAAGTTCTGATGCATGTAAATTAATATCGTAAATTCTGTTAACGTCTGACTCCTGGCTTTGGTCCAACTAAAAAGAGTTAATGATATTATTTGAAAAAGTATTTCATCAGCTAAGCTTATGTGCAGACAAAATTAATATATATAGTATATAGATCTTGTTGATAAGGTAGAATTCATTCATTACACAAATTTAACAAAGAAACAAAATGGTCATAAATTAGTTTTATTTACATCATGTGTATTATACATTAATTATTTTTTTCATTAAGTGTAAATAAAATTTAATTAATGAATTCATTTCATATTGATTATAAATTTCCCTAAATCTAATGTCTGAAGAGTTATTCCCCTTACGATTTCTTCCTCTGTCACAGTTTTCGGTGGTTTCTTTTCCCAGAATTCCACTTCTTGTTCTTTGTCATTTCTAGATCTACTTGATGTACTCCTAGCACTAGACAAAGTGTCCTTGACCTTTCCAGCTGACCCTGGTGACCTCTGATAGCGGGAAGAACTAGGTGGACTAGGGCTAAATTTCTTAGAAAATGGCCTAGAACTGAAGTCACTAGTTGGAGGTGAAGTCTGTTTTAGTTTCACTTTCCCTGATCTGGCACTAAGTTGGTCATTAGTTGTCCTCTCTGCTGACAATGTCTTATCACTGTATATCCCAGCATTCACTTCATTATATTGCACTGGACCACTTCCCTCGTCTATATATTTTTTACTTTGGGGTGGTGTTGACAAGATTTGTCTGAAATTAGGATTACAATTAAGAAGTAAATGAAGTCTGAAATATCTGATCTTGATGGCAAAAAACTAGTATTTATGATAAATGTAAGAAGGAGATCCACTTCTCTTTTAATCCCTCTAAACATTTACATGATACTGCCTAACTTTATACTATCTGCAAAAGTCCACTTTGCAAATTAAAAGAGACATTTACTAATTGACTTGATTGACATCCTTGAAATACTTGCACATGTAATGCATAGTATGTCACAGGGAAAAAGAGATGTAATGAGCAGGACAAGAATTTAAGTCCCATATCATATGAATTTTTCATGTGTTAGAGGTGCTTTGACAACTGAGCTAACTAGTGATTATATACAGTTGAATATTGAATATCATGTTTAACTGAGGAGGAAAGTCTTAATTACTTTTTCTTTTTGTTTAAACCTCAATACCTGTATTGAATGTATTCATATGAACCCTCATATATCATCTAGTTTAAAATAATACCTTATATACCTGCCCAACCTCTAAATCCCCCCTCCTGTGACCACCATTTGCAGTGCCATAATTGGCATAAAAATGTCTTGTTGATTAAGAAATTTCTTTCATTTCTGTAAAGACTTAAATCGCATCTGACATATGGGAGGGTGGACTGACCTCTGCAGGAATCAAAATTAGACACCTGACTTTAGGGCTAATAATGCACTCCAATTCCAAACTGAATTCACCACCTAATGGTTAACTAGGGCACAGATTTGCATGAGTAAGTGTGGACGATGGCATAGCTGCAGATCTGTAGCGTTATGGTTTTATGTATTTGTCTTTGACCATAACGCTACAGATCCCGTAGTGCAAAAACGGTGCAATTTATACGTTTCAAAATTTTTTGCCACTTTTGTTTAGAATTTCTCCATTTTCAATTTAGGGTCAATCAACTACCTTTCACTCCCTAATTCTAGACACATTATTGAACTAATCTGTATATTTTATCCATCTCCCAACCCTTTATACTCGTCTCTACAAGTGATAAACTCACTTGATTAAAATTATTTGTTAGATTACTGAAAATTCACTTCAAGCGAGTTTATTGCCTGTAGAGACAACTATAATGGTTGGGAGGTGGATAAACTATACATATTAGATACAGAATGTGTCTAGAATTAGGGTGTGAAATGTAGTTGATTGACCATTGCTAGAAAGTGGAGAAATTCTCCCCAAAAGAGCGCAAAAAATATTGCGCCGTAAATTGCACCTTTTTTGCACTATGGGATCTGTAGCGTTATGGTCAAAGACATATAAAATACATGGTTACTGTCTTGAAATATAAGCGATATTTGGGCGAGGATAAGAAAACGTGATAGAGGGCGAGGCTTACCGAGCCCTCTTACATTTTCGACCTGAGCCCAAATATCGCTTATATTTCAAGACAGTTATCATGTATTTTGTTTATCCTGCAACATATTTTTACCATTTGAACGTCCAAAACTAGCTATTTTCGACAGATTTAGGCACATCTCTGCAGTTGAAACTATGATGCCATGGCGTAAACATTGCAGTATACGTGACGTCACAATGCTTTTAGAACATCGGAATACATGCACGAGGATTTATTAGGGCAGTGACCGGATAAAGCTTTGGTTTATTAGGTTACCTTTATTAGGTCAATGCAGGAGGTAGTTGCTGGATAAAAATATATAAAACCATAACGCTACAGATCTGCAGCTAATGATGGCAGTGCTCAGTGCATAAGGGACAAAGTCAATGAGCACAAAGTTCACCACGAAGGATTGTTATTGCAAAAAAAAAAAAATACACCGTCCTTTTGACTTCCATTAAAGTATAGACCTGTAGACACCGGTGTGCTATCTAATGAAAAGCATGTTACTAACCTAGGTTGCGGCCTTCGTGCTCTGGGTGGAGGATTACCGACAGGTAGCACTCCGATTTGTCTTCCAAGAGTCGAGGGTACAGACCCTGATGTTCTTGCCTTCAATCTACCATCCATTTTGAGTTTAGTTATAATGGAATCAACACTGAATCATTTTGGTGTTTACCTTGGAGCTTGGGCGCCATGTTGGAATTTTAAATCAATATACATTTGTAGCTCGAACCCGACGTAATTTATGCTGTGGGATCTAGTAATTTAAAAAATATCGGAATAAAAAAATATTTACAATTTGAAAATGTCTGTTAAAACCTGTACAGTCTTTACGGATTTTAATAAGGATTAATTGAAAATTAAATCAATTCAAATATATTTTAAGATATTTACTTCTCTCTTGGGTTTAACAATGAAACTTAGATGATAACTCTCTTTATTTAAAAAAAAAATACCCCAATTGATTTGGAAGCCAAAGAGAGTAAAGTACATAAATTCCTATATAAAAAGAACCTGTGAAAGTATCATGGAATTAAAATTATAAATTCAGTGGTATAAGAGGAGTAGCGGATAAGAGATGGTATATACCCTTCAATATTATAGAAAGAATGGCTAGGCTCATGTTTTGCTTTGGGAAACTGAAAATATGTGTCCGAAAAAATAAAATAGGAGGTGCACAATGGCACTATACTAAAGATTCTGTGAAAGTCTCATTAAATTTCATTCAGAGGTAAAAGAGGAGTTGCGGATAAGAGATGGGTACCCAGAAGTGTAACAGATGGATGTACAGACATCCCGATCACGTACTCTATATCCTCCTGTTTTTCAAGTGGAAGGTATAATTATAATATGACTGTCATCTTATATACTGTCTATGCAAAAATATTAATACCCCTATTAACATTAAAGGCCCAACTTTTTTTTTTTAATGATGAATATATCAATTGAATTCTTTTTGATAAAAGATTTTTTTTTGGTGGGGATGACATCCTCGCAAGCCAAGGGTCCTGAGTCAACATGTTGTTGTTAGACCCCTGGTATATTTCATTCAATATCTGTGGGGTTGCTTCTCTCATCGAGAAGCACCAATCAAATTTAAAAGTTTCCAAAAATAGTCAGATAAGGAATTAAGGATTCAACTGACACCTCAAATGCACATGTTTCAAGTGATTGATTGAGAAATAAGAAAAACAATCAAGTTTTGCGATTTTTTTCTAAAGATGTCACTACAGTCAGCCCAAGGATATTGAATGAAATATGCCAGGGGTCTAACTGCAATGTGTTAATTGACTCAGGACCCCTGGCTTGTGAGGATGGGGGTGTCCCTATTTTGTTTTTCATATACATGTATATATCACACACACAGGAGAAAGACAGAAGGCAATTTACAGTCTGAAGATGACAAATTCCATTATTTTCTTCCAAGACTTTGATGTTTTTGATATTTTAGTTAAATGGTATTTACTGTCAAAGCTAGGGACGGCATTTATTTACTCTTTCAAGATAAGTAATGATCATGCCATTTTTAAAAATGAAAACAAAGCCAAGGAAAAAGATTTAAATTTTATTTTCCCAGTACAATATCAGTAAAATATACATTGAATATTACTGAAAAAAATTCTTATTGATATCAAATAAAATGTTCATTTGATATAATGTATTGCATAAAATACTCTTATAAACATAATGCCCAAGACTGGCCAAGAGCAGCACTAACATTTCTTAAAAAATAAATCTCAAAAAGGAAATAAAAATATAACACTTAAGCATTCAATAATCCTTTTATATGTAACTATAAAAGCATTTATAAAAATAATTCATGACTACACTGTATAATGAAAATTCTATATGGTACATATTCTATAAATAGCGTCTTAGAAAAGGGGAGGTAAATCTGACCCAATATGGCACAAATCTGTCTGCTTTCTGGTAAGTATCCTCGTTTGTTTGTATGCCATGGGAAAAAAAGTATTCTTGTTCCTGTTCACAAAAAAGGAAAATATGAATGCCAACTACATGTAATTAATGCTTGTACAATTAAAGATTTTGTTTTTTATTTTTGCAATTCAAAATTCTGATGTTTCCGTTCTTTAAAGAAGGAACACTTTAAGATGAGAGGTTGTAACTTTTACCTTGTGTAGGTCTAATTGTAACTGTTTGTTCTGTGTGACTAAAGCTATCTGGCACTCCAGGTCTCTGTATACTGACCGATGCCCTAAAAAGAAAAAAAGTATTTATAGTATACATATGAAGTTCATTTACATGTAATGGTGCATGACTTCAAATACAGGTAGTACAGAACTGTAAATAATTTTTTTTTAATCCTAAACTTTTTCTTTGCATAATTAAGCAAGACAGCCTACTTGCAAAAATTTCATTGTCACTCTGACACATCTTTTTATTTGTATAGATTATACCCAATAATAAAAAGATTTCATGAAAATATACAGTGGACCCTCAGATATCCGGACGCCAGATATCCGGATGCTTCAGTATTCGGACGATTTTTCATCGAAACGAAATTTTTAAATGTTATTTTGTCTTGTTTAACTGGTGATTCAGATATCCGGATGCTTCACATATCCGGACAAATTGACTGGGAACCAAAGCGTCCGGATAAATGAGGGTCCACTGTATAGTGAATAAAGTGCCGCGCCACAGCATGATACGCCCGTCAAAAAATTACAATTTTCTCGAACAGTTTAGGTGCAAGAAAATCACATCAACCTTGATTCTAAGATTTCGATGATTTTTCCATTCCTTAAAATATTTATCCATCCCCTGTGATGTAGGCATCAATTATAATAAATATATTACATCACTGATAGATTTCTGTGCTGGTTGTGTTAGACCTTGTCAAATGCCCACCATCAAATTAGTCTTAACAACTTAATCTATACCAAATTAATTTTGTGGCCATCAAATGACATATGTCTGACCAGCAGTTCTTCTGTCTGGATACAGATAAGGTCACTGCTTAATCAGAGCGACTGAGACAGCTAGCCTTCCTACATTGAACTCATTAATTAATCTTTAACTGGATGCTTGTCTACTCATTACTACCAAGAGATGAATGGGTCTGCACTATCTACTATAAATTTAATAAAATACTCAAAGATTTTTTTTTTGGTTGAGATTTAATGTCCGACAGGTTTTAATATGTAATTCATATGGACATGCTGATTCCACCCCATCCCAAAAAATTAGTTTTTAAATTAATAATATTACATAATATCAGATTAGTCTATTATGCAATATAAAATTAGTTTTAATTACTTTTCATCAAATTCATTTTTTAAAACTTAAGCTAGTCAACAAGAGCTATTTTTAATCAATAGGCCCAATACACAAGGGATATAGATAACAAATGCTAGCTCCTCGTCAAAACCCATTAATTTCTCTCTAATTTGACAGCACTCAAAATTTTTTTGCTCACTTGAGAGGAGGATTTCTCTGATACACTATATTTGTTATAGATTGCTGTCAAGTATATGCTTAAAAAAATAAGTATTTCCTTGATTTAACACTTTTTTTAATAAGAACAGTGCAATACTCTTACATTATTTGGGATGTGTAAATGAATAGTAAAAAGACACATTTTTAAAAAAAAAATTCACTTAAATTAAAGGTCACAGTGACCTTGAAATAGGTCGCGACAACCTTCTACCTAAGATGCATAAACTGGCCAAGTTTGATGATTGTAGGTCTTATGGTTTTCTAGTTATGGGCCGGAAAGGATTTTTCCATATTTGGCTATAACTACTTAAATAAAGGTCAGAGCGACCTACTTTTTGTGCGTGACACACCTTCTACCCAAGATGCATCAGATGACAAAGTTTGATAATCCTAGGCCTAGTAGTATTAAAGTTATGAGCCGGAAACGAAAAAGCTAACAGACAGACGGACAGACGGACGGACACGAAGCCTATAACATAATACGTCCCGTCTTAAGACGGGCGTATAAAAAGTTATACTTAATCTCAATGTATGACCTTAGAATAGGCCGATGTTCTATCTGACCTTGTCACATATAGCTTGACAAAACATGTTTCATCTCTTACAAATGTATTTCATATTATAGCAAGAGAGCTGAACCTGACATTAAGCTTAATTCATAACTCCAAATAGGCAAACAAACAAGGTAGCACTCAGTTTTTTTCACTTGAGGAGAGATGGGGGGGGGATTCCTTACCAAAATTGGAAGATCCCATCATGCAAAGAAAGGGGAGAGTCTGGTTGGGGAGGTAATACCAGAGTCCCTTTACATGGTAGGTCCACTGGTCCCTGTAATACTCATATAACCGGATCCGGTGCTGCATACTATGGTACAGAACCAGGTGGTAGAAACTGGAGGCAATGTAAGTGTACGCATCTGGGATGTTCCCCATCACACCTCTGGCTCCATAAAAACCATTTACCTAAAACAGAAGAATCCTAACTATCATTGTAATCAATATATTCTACTGTATTTCTTTTCTGCTTTTTCTATATTGAAAATCTTTCTTTAGTTCTTCATTGTAGATCAGAAATTAAAAGAATCAACTTTAATTTTACACATACATCTAAATCCTTACCTGTGGTGATGCTATTAAGAGATCAAATTTTGCTAAAGACTCGAGCACAATAATGTTCTGATAATGTTTTGTCAGATTGAAATATCCAGTGGCTAGTGAGATTTTAACTCCATCACTGGCAGTGCGCAGTAACTGCTTCACAAATGACTCTTCTGTTCGAATTCCAAACAAGGCCATCTGAACTAATGGATACACATAAGTGTCATATTTGGTTTTCTTCTTTGCCTTTTTGTCTTCTTGTTGATTGGTCACAGAGTTGACATATTCTGTTACTGTTTTTCCTGCTGCTTTCTTGAAATCTTTTGTATTTCCTTTGAAAAAAAAGATACATGCAATTACCTGAGCACTATTCAAAATGTAAGGTAATTTGTAATGAAATGTGTAATAAATGTACAAGTACAACCATATTTATTTTTAACACGACATAGTTGAGATGATGACTATTTCAAAAGGCTTTAGTTTTAAAAAAGGTTTTAAGATGTAAAGGACATATAAAGGACTGCATATGTACTATGATGTATATGAAGTATCTCTTTGATCTGACACTAGCATCTGTACTAATGGGCATTGTTAGGGATAAGGCATGAGCCAAATGGCACAGAAGAGAGAGAAAATAGACTTATGACAA